GTAAGATTCTATCATACAATAAAAACATCTTAATGACAATTAAAATTAGGGGAAAGTAAGAAAATAAATGTAATAAAATCATGTCCCAAAGTACAAAACCACAAAATATTAGTCTATCAAAACTCCCAAAGTACAATTAAGAAAGAAACGTGTCTCATCACAAAAAGATTTAGAAGTTTCAAATATGAGAAAGATATGCCTGAAAAGATATTTTCCAAATGATGAGAGAAGAAAAATTAATATAGAACTTGCAAAGTTCTTTGGATATTTAGAGGATTTTGGTGATCAAGAATCTTTGGTTGATAGATGGAGGATGGATCCAAAAATGTGGTGGTTGATTCATGGAGCTTCAGCATCGCTTCTTCAAATAATAGCAATAAAACTTCTTGGTCAAGTATCATCCTCTTCCTGTTGTGAGAGAAATTGTAGCACATACTCATTTATTCAATCAATGAAAAAGAATAAAATAACTCCACAACGTGCTGAAGATTTAATTTATGTGCATACAAACTTTCGTCTTCTATCAAGAAAAACCCCACTTTATATGACAGGTGATAACAAGATGTGGGATATTGCTGGAGATGTGTTCGAGTGCCTTGATGATATGGGATTATTGGAGGTTGCAAATCTTTCTCTAGATGAACAAGAGTTGGAAGCAATGATATTCAATGATGATGATATTGAAGGCCAAAGACCAACATCTGAATCTATTTCTATCATTCCCTCTATTGAGTGGTTGGATATTCATGTTGTACTAAATGATTTTTTGCTTATATTTTTGTGGTTGTATTAGATATTTTGTACTAAACATCTTTATGTTATAAGCTAAACAAGTTGTCATGAAATTGATTTATTATTGCTTGTCATTTTTACTATAATGTCATCTTATTTCTATATATTCTATTAAAAAATTATTATGCCGTGTCCACGCCACACCCATGTCCTATATTTTAAAAAATTGTCGTGTCTCGTGTCAATGTCGTGTCGTGTCCGTGTCGCCGTGTCCGTGTCGGTGAATCATAGCCTGCTGGCAACTCTGAATTGACTGTGTGATCCCCTAAAGCTCTCTTCAATTGTGACATATGAAATACTGGGTTGATGGTGGTTGTTGGAGGCAACCTCAAACGATACGCCATTGCTCCAATTTTCTCTAATATCTCATAAGGGCCAAAATATCTTGGAGTCAGCTTCTCGTTCCTCTTGGAGATGACTGTCCTCTGCCTGTAGGGCCTTAGCTTTAAGAACACTCTCTCTCCAACCTCAAACTGGATGTCCGTCCTATGCCCATATGCCTGTTTTTTCTTAATCTGTTGAGCCCTCAACAAATGCTTCTTTAATTCTTTTAACTCCCTATCTCTCTCCTCTAAGTATGCTTCTATTGAAGAAACTGGAGTGTTACTCTGCCCAAAATGCACCAGGTGAGGTGGATCTCTTCCTTACAACACCTTGAATGGGGTCATCTGAGAAGCATAATGATATGAAGTGTTGTACCAATACTCTGCCCATGCTAACCATTTGAACCAAAGCCAAGGGGTTTCAACACAAAGCATCGTAGGTATGTCTCTAAGCTTATGTTTACCACCTCTGTCTGCCTATCGATCCGTGGGTGGTAGGCTGTGCTCCTCTTAAGTACTATCCCCTGCAGTCTGAATAACTCTCTCCAAAAATGGCTGAGGAACATGTTATCCTTGTCGGATATTATAGCCTCCGGTATCCCATGCAGTTTGACCACCTCTCTGATGAAAGTTGAAGCCACTATCACTACCATGTAGGGGTGTTGTAGGGGAATGAAATGACATACTTGCTCAGCCTGTCCAATACGATTAGAATCATGCTGAATCATTCAGATCGAGGTAACCTGACTATAAAATTCATGGAGACCTCCCACACCCGATTTGGTAGAGCTAGGGGTTGCAATAATCCTCCTGGAGTTATGACCATATACTTATTCCGCTGACAGACCTTGCAATTGACGACCAGCTTCTCCATTTCCTCATGCATCCCCTTCCAATACAACTCTGAGGCGAGTCTTCTGTATGTCTTATGCACCCCTAAATGACTCCCAATAGCACTCCCATGGAACTCTTGGAGTAGGTGTGGAGTATAAATTGAAGTCCTAAGCATCACAAATCGCCCTTGGTATAAAAGACTCTCCCCTTCTAAAGAATAGCCAGGGTGGATACTCCCATCCTTCAATAAATATTCCCTAATCCTCCCCAACTCCTCATCCTGGGCACTCTCCTCCTTAATGGCTCCCCAATCCAACATCAGAGGTATCGACATGGTTACTTTCTGGAACTCCCCCATACATCTGGACAAGGCATCTGCCGCCTTTTTCTCTATCCCAGACCTATACTGGCTTTCAAAGTCATATTCCAATAACTTTGAAAGCCATCTCTAGTGCTCCTTTGTCACAATTTTTTGCTCCAACAGGTACTTCATACTCAACTAATATGTCCTGACAATGAAATGTCAGCCCAACAGATAAGGTCGCCACTTTTGGATGGCTAGCATATTCTCGATCAACTCCCTCTCATAGACTGACTTCAATCTTGCTCTAGCTGTCAACACTTGACTGAAGTAAACAATGGCTATGACACTGTATAAGTACTGCTAAGCCATACCCTGATGCATTCGTCTCTACTTTAAATACCTGGTTGAAATCTAGCAGGGCCAAGACCAGTATAGTGGTCATGGCCTTTTTCAATCTCTCAAAAAATGCTGTGGCTGCCTCCCCCACAAGAAACTATCATTCTTCAAATGTTCTGTCAGTGGCCATGCGATAGTGCTATAGCCCTTCACGAATCTCCTATAGTAGCCAGTAAGCCCTAGGAATCCCCTCAGTTCCTTGAGATTCTTGGATAGTGACCATCTCAATATTGCTTCAATTTTGGCCTGATTCGCAGCCACACCATCCTGAGAGATACATGTCCCAAATACTCCACACTAGCCTGAGCAAAGCAACATTTCTTCTGATTGGTTCTCAGCTGATGCTGCTGTAACACAGCTAAAACCTTTCTCAAGTGCTCCCAATGCTCCCCACCTGTCCTGTTGTAAACCAAAATATTATAAAAAATACCAGCACAAATCACCTGAGATAGATAAAAAAACTTTGTTCATGAAGGACTGGAAAGTGGCTGGGGCATTAGTGAGACCAAAAAACATCACTAGGAACTCATAACGCCCCTCATGAGTTTTGAAAGTAGTATTCGACGCATTCTTCCTTTTCATTCTGATATGATAGTACCCTTCAGATCTATCTTGGTGAAAATAACTGCCCCACACAGCTCATTCAACAGCTCTTCTATCACTGGGATAGAAAATTTGTCTGGCACAATTTTCTTATTCATCGCCCCATAGTCCAAGCAGAAGCTCTAAATCCCATCTTTTTTCTTAACTAGTCACATTGGACTAGAAGGACTCACGCTGGGCCTGATAATCCCTGCTTACAACACCTCCCTGATCAACTTTTCAATTTCATCCTTTTGAAATTGAGGATAGCGGTAGGGCCTGACACTGATGGGTGACACACCTTCCCTCAAAGTGATAGCATGCTCCTGCTCCCTTGGCGATGGCAATCCCTGAGGTATCACGACCCAGCCCGGTAAGCTCGAATTAAACGAGGCGAGAACGAAAGTTGGATGATAACACATAAAATATCATTGATAATTAAACATATACAAATGTTCATCCAATTTCAATCATAAAAGAGACTAAATAACAAATTTAAGAATTTCATCAACATCAAAAATAACAATCTAAAAACATAACAATACTTCAGAAAGTCTCCAATATATAAACTTTCACATAGACTAATACTAGACACATAAAAAACTAAAAAAATCTATCATCCTGGGATCCTCTACGACGGTAGGTAACCGATCTTTCAGCCATCATTCTCTAGCAGTCTCTCCCGAAAAACATTCTCACAAGTAAGGGTGAGTTAACACTCAGCAGATAATAAATATCTCAATTAAATTTATAATGCAAGGAATGAAAAAATATTATGCAGTAAATTTTTTATATGACAAGACTTAAATAACATGAGAAGTCTTAAGTATGCCTAATCCATATAACATTTGGAATGCATAACATTTTGAATGCCCATAACTCTTTCATGAATTTCATTTTCTTTTCTTAACTTTTCCTTTATCATTCATATATGCAAAGTATAAAATACATAGTCTTATTATATACACCCATTCCGAAAGTATCAATAATTTGTACTGATCAGATACACATTCAAATTTGGCCAAACATTTCATTTCATTTATTCCGAAGAGTCCTTTACTAATTTGCTCCGATGAGTCCTTTACCATTTGCCCCGAAGAGCTATTTACCATCTGGTACTCCGGATCATTATGCTTGGGTAAAGGGCTCTTTAGAACTAAGTAGTGCGGCCCACAACTCAATTAAATATTGCTTTGGGAGGTAACAACTCAATTAAATATTGCTTTGGAAAGGAAAATTTGAATTAGGGGTTGTTTAGGAATTTTGTAATCTTCTTTGCTTAAAATAGTTTCTCTTGTAAGGGTTAGGGTTTCATCTTGAATTTGGCTGAAATTTGAGATCTCTTAGGTTTAGGATTTTTTGGGCTCTAGCGGCGTCTAGAGATTTGGGAGGGAGAGATCCTCCCCTCGAATAGAGGATCAATAGTATCTTGCTTTATTTCTTTCGTTAGTTTGATTTCATCAATAAAAAAATACTTTTTTGTTGATTTTCCATGGGATTTGTGTAGCATTTTGCTGTTTTTCGTCTCAATTGATAGGATTTACTTAAAATCTTCAAGTATTTCCTATCAAAATACTCTTAAAATGGCTCCGACTGAGTAATGTGCAAGAAAAACAAAACGAAAACTCAACACAATTCCCGACAAATTAGTTGCTGCCCTTGATTAGACTAGGCCCGGATTGGAGATGGAATAGTAATTACCCATGCGGCAGTTACCTGAACAATATTTTTTATGTTTCTATAGCCAAACTGTTTTTTGGTTCCAACAGGGTGCTTTGCCGGCGATTGAAAGGTCCCTGGTTTGATAGAAAAATGCCTTCTTAATTTCAAGAATCCTCACCTAAAAGAAATAACAAGGGCAGAAGTAGATGACTGCTTACGAGAAAAAAAAAAAAATTTTAAAGGGAGTAATGGGAACAGAGAACTTGAAGATGATGGCTGGAATCTTTACTGTGTTTCATACAGCTTAGGGGAACTACTGGAGGACCAGGTAGAATTTAAGGAGGCGTTCCAGTCAACCCGCGGGCTGGAATTTTGATCCAGAACTGCAAGTTGTTTGTTGTCTGTTTCAGATATGTCCCGGAGGAGCAGCTGGAGGACATGCACCCAGATTTGGACAGCTAGAATGCATTCCAACAATGAAGACGGAGTTCTGCTTTCTAAAGTAAGGAAGTTAATAGTTAATTAACCATGTCACTGTGATTGCATCATGTTATATACTACGATGATGAACATAATCTCATTTCTGTGTGTTGCCTTGAGTACAATGAACTTGAATCAAACACTTTGGTGGGTAAGAGCAAACGATGGAAACACCTCCAAATCACTTAGCAACAATTATCCATAATTATGAATTTAGGTACATCTAAAATGTTGCATCTTGCTTTATATTTTTTGCATATAGATAGTTTTGAAAGGCGAGACTCTTTTGAAGCACATAAAGTTAAAATCATTGAGAAAATTGTAAGCTAAATGCTTAAAATTGAGTATATGATAATTATCACATGATATACAGATTTAGTGAATGCAGAACTGATAATTATAAACTGTTATTTTTGAAAGATTGAGTAATACTCAGGTGTAATAAGTGTATCTGTATTTATTATGTAGAAGAATAAATATGTAGACGGGGCAACTTCTAGAGCTAAAGATGGTTGGTCAATGTTATTTAGATAAGAGAATGTCATGAGTACTAAAGGTTAAATTTGATAAAGTTATAGTTAGACTGACTATGCTATATGATTATGGGTGTTGGAAATAAAAAATCATTATTAGGATACAAAATGAAATGTGAAGATGAATGCATGGTGCAATTAGAAAGGATAGGGTTGCAAATGATTATATTAGGATTCTTAGAATAACAACTATTGAAGAGAAGATTGTAGGAAATAGATTTGGTTGGCTTGGGCACCTAGATTAGAGGCTAGAAGTTGTACCTATAAAGCATAATGGAATTTTTATGGAAGGAGGGATAAGGGTATACTAAATAAGACATGGATATAAATTATGCAAAAGACTTGCACAAGATATGCTTAATACCTATGGAAACTTAGGAAGAATAGATGAAAAGCTCAAAAAAGTTCATTATAAATCTGACCATAAACAGGTTGGACATGGCTAAGTATGATGATGACATACATTAGGTATTATATCTACATAGTTTAATTTCCAATGCTTTTATGAAATGCAATATGCACATAATATGCTCTTGATGATCAAATATTCAAATATAAAATCAAAATCATTTTGATAATATACAATATAAAAAATATTATGGGCAAATTGATCTTCTTCCACAATGAAAGCACAGCAAAAGTTGCACTTTCATAGCATATCATAACCCAAATTGCAGAACAAGAAGCCTTGATTATATACATATGAAAAGACTATCACAATCACCATTCCCTCTTCACTTCAATGACCAACTCATAAGTTTGTTCAAGGCTATAAAGTTCATCTACTTCTAACTAGTTTTTGCCCTCCTTTGGTATGTTCTATTTAATTTACTACCATCCTGTGTGTATTTTCCTGCCACTTCCATATTTATCTTTTTTTTTTATTAAAGATAATTCTCTTGTTTCTGGATCAATTTTATTTCAAATTATTTCCTACACTCAGGATATGTGCTTTTTTGCTTGTATCATCTTTTGGGGTCTCAATAACAGGAAATTATTAGGTGCGGATATTGGACGTAGAGATACGTCTGGACATCTGCTTAAAATTTGACACGTGGAGTGTACTTTGGTTGCACATTTTTGTGCGTTTTACTTGTGCTTTAGTTGCACTTTAGTTACGCTTTGACAGCTCTTTTGTTGCGCTTTTTTACTGCGCTTTACATTCACTTTACCTACACTTTTGGTGCGCTTGGCTTAAAGTTCTGCGGATGCATTAAATATATAAAGTAAAAAATAAATCCAATTGAATATCCACATGTCCACTCCACGTGTCAACATTTTATTGGAGTCCGAACGTACCTCTACGTCCGGTCTCCGTACTTAATAATTTCTCCTCAATAACATCATTGATTATTTATAGATTAATCTCCTGAGAAGTATTGAATGAAATTATGTTTGATTTATTTATTTATTTCTGTAGAGATAACTATCTCGTTTGAATGTGTTACTGGATTTGTTGTGTAATGTATTAGAAGGGGGACCCTACACGCTTAGTGATTTCTTCAATACGAAGCCGTGCGTTTTTGAGAACTTAGGTGATCTTCGTTGTGTAATTCAACTTTTCATCATTCTTATTGCTCTTTCGTTGTTCTATCACCTCTCCGACCTTCTCAGATCCCCTGAAATTTAACCCCCTCTAAAATAATGCAATCCATTGAAGAGTTTTTCCCCTGTTACCTGTTTTGTCTTCTGACTTCTTCAGAATGATCTAACTCAACATCATCGACATGCCACTGATAATTTAGGTTTCGTTTGGGACGGTTTTTTTTATGCTTCTTAAAGCAGCTATCCCAAACGAAGCCTTAGTAGGATTTACTAAGTTTACTTCCAAGAATGGTCTCGAACTTATTATCTTAGGACGGAAAATAAGTAACCCGGTTGGAGTAGTTGGCAAAGCAGGAGAATTTTCTGCATCAAGAAGTATGTAATAAGGATTTCGATGTTTCATTATGGAGAAAACTATTCAACAATAGGCTTGAAGAATGTGGTAAATGAGAACTTTTTATGGGTTTCGTAAGAAAATGCAAACATGCATCTTAAACAGCTTGTAAATTAATGGAAGACATTGTGAGTTTCAATGCTTCATTTGCAAGTAGAAGCGAAATTTGGGAGTTGTGATGAAATTGTTTAGTCGTGCTTGATTTTAGGTTTTGTTTGGAAGAATTTTTTTAGGGGCTGTTTGGTTGGAATACAAAGTTAGGTAAAGTATTTTAAATGTAAGGGTTTTAAAAATATTCATGTTTGATTAGATGAAAAAGGAATTCAAAGTAATGTAAAATAAATATAGTGTAAATCATTTTAATTCTTTTTTTGAAGTAAATTAAACTCACACAATTTTCAGCTAGAACTGTTTACACAACAAACAAGCCTTACTTGACTGCCACCCACCATGGCCATTGATGGCCACCGTTGCCACACAATGCCAGTCGTTTCCGGCCACCATTGTCGGCTGCCATTAACCAACACCACCAACGGCTACCATAGGACACCACCATCAACAATTCTCATCAGCCACCACCTGCTGTCCGATATTTGAATTTTACACTACATTTATTATTTCCAACTAAAAAAATAAAATATTCACCTATATTTACTTTATATTCATTCAAATAATTCTAAAGTATTTTTTTTTTTTTATATTGCATTCTTTTTTTAGCCAATCATACAACCCCTTATTATTTTCTTAAGCAACTTTCTAATAAAAGTTTTTTTTTTAAAAAAATAAAAAATAGTGGCTAAAAATTATCCTACACAAAACCTTAGTACACTGATATAGCTATTGGGGAATGCGTATAAACTGAGGCTTCGTTTGGGATGGCTTTTTTATTGCTTTCTAAAACGGAGTTTTAATACAAATTTTTTTATTTTTGTATTAAAACTCTGTTTTAGAAAGCAATAAAAAAGTTGTCCCAAACGAAGCCTGAATCTACATCTTAGATTTTATCTTAAAATTCAAGATTTACAGAGAGCAATTTCGATGATTACTTTGCAGTTGAAGCTAGCAGGAGTTTTATTTCTTGTAATTTTATAACTATCGAAAAAATCCGGAATGTCTGCTGCTTGTCAAGTTTAAGTTTGTATATGTACTACCTGCTGTGTTGCAGATGTTGGCTTGTCTTTCAATAAAAAGATATAATAGATTTACTTGTAGAACTGCGACTACTAAAGAGTTAATTCTTCTACACCAAATGCTTCCTTTTTAGTTGGGTTATAATCAAGCCAAGTCAAACATATCATAGAAGATATATTGAAGGCCATTGACATGTTGGAGAAAGATACATCGAGGTCTAAGATGACATTGATTAATTGCAGCCAAATATGTAAGAATAAGATGCATTCACCCACCCACCGATGATTAGCTTGGTTGGTGGGCGAGTATGGTTGGGAACCCCCAACGTGTGCTCGATTTTTCTCGAGTGGCAGCGCCTCTTAAGTGTGGCCCAATTAAATGCGGGCTAGAAGATTTTTGGGGTGGGTGCCTCTTCTAGGTCAACTGATGTAAGAAAATGTGCGTAAGGGCTAAGATGAAGCACTCATAGATCGTGATCTTAATGGTGTGCTCATGTAGGTGTAACTCTTGTGGTATCGGACGATCAGAGTGTGGAGATTGAAAGCGACATGAGTGCAAAATGATATATGAAAGTAATAGTTAAAGATGCGGAGAGTAACCTCGTTTTTAACATGTTATTTGTTGAACTACAAATAAGTTGTTCGAGATTATGAATAAATAAGTTTGATATTGTTTAAGCTTAGTTCATTTAACTTCTATATTTTTACAAATTATTTAAACTTAATCAATTATAAACTTAAATGAGTACTAATTGAGCCAAATTCAAGTTCATTGAGTGTTTTGATTCACTAACAAGTCTACTTTTAGGGGTGTCCAAAATTGATTGAGGCTTCATTTGGGATGACATTCATATTGATTCTTAAAATAATTTTCTAGTATGAAAATGTTAATTTTTGTACCAGAAAGCTGCTGTAAGAAAAAAGTCATCCCAAACGAAGCCTGAGTCTTGTTTTTAGATGTGTGTTTTAACTGTTTGTTAGTGTGAACTTGTATATAACGAAGTTCCCATTCTTGAAACACATTGAAAATTGGTGGGAAGTGAGTTCCATTCTTAATGGTTAGGAAGTCATTTTAAACGTAACTTTTTTTAATAATAATATAATAATATTAAAGTTTCGTTTGAGATTGCTTTCTAAAGCAAATTTTTAATACAAAAATTTCTTAAATTAAAAAAATCGTGCTAAAAAGCTATTTTTGAAAACATTAAGGAAGCTGCCCCAAACGAAGCTTAAATTTTTATGATGATGGGTTTAAATATGACTTTTGGTTAAAATAATAATGAAGTAATGAAAAATTGATGTGAGGTTTCTAAAATAAACTTGTTGCCATCTTATTAGGTCATGGATTGAGTCAAAGGAATATATATCATTGAAGCTCACTTTATTTTCTCTCACTTATGGAATTTAGATAACAAAATTCCAAACAGTTAAAATTAAACAAATTGGCTTTTAAGTATGGATTTTTTTTTTTCTATTTTTCTCTCTTTCTTCCTCTTGTCTATTTCCTTTTAGTGTGGGTTCATTTGTTTTCTATCTTTCTCCCTTTGTCTTTTTCCTT